TTCGCAGGGCAAAGTTGCGAATAGATGTATTTTTTCTATTCTTGCGATTCTGCTGTTTTTCAATATTCACAAAACCGTTTGAGCTTTAAGCACTTCTGTGTTTCACCATAAACTTTTTAAAGAATTTATTTGAATGACAATTGAGGTAGTGTTGTCATTTCTAAGAGATGGCAGCGATAAATATCAATATATCAATATAATATACAAATCAATCAAAGAAGTATAAATTGGGGCGAAATCGAACTTTATAAACGCGTACACATATGCAATTATTAAAATTTCGGTGTTTTCGCTTATCTTAAATTTGCTGTTATATGGGAAGTGGATTAGTTATGGGGTTTGTTATCAGGAATTTAGCTTTTATGCAATACCTGTACCGAGTGTGGTAGAAATTGATAAATCGGTTACCGAGATACACATACATACTATGTACGGTGTCATAATAAGTGAGCGGTGCCACGCCCATTTTCCAAAAATTTATGATAATTTCTGATTTATCTGATTTATCGCCGTTTTCGTATTTCGGTAAATGACCATAGTTACCGAGTTTGGTAGGCATTGGTGAAGCGGATACTGAGATACAACATTTCATCATAAATGGGCGGAGCCAGGCCCATCTTGCAAGTTTCATAACCCACTTAAGAAAAAAATGTAATGAGTTGCAGCAAATCCAACTGTGTATAAAACGATGTTGTTAAAAGTCAAAAGTATCTACGTCATACATTGCGCTTGGCTACAAAAATATTATTGAAATGTTCAAGCATACCATTTAGCATGTGGCAATAAACTTGGGAATCTCAAATTGTTAGATTTGATTGACAGTAGATATTTAACATTATCAAGCACTTCTCTACAAAAAAGGTTAAATTGTTGTTAGCAATTTAAATTTTTATACCATGTGTATAAAAAAATGTATATAAGAGGGTGATCCAAAATAATTAAAGTCGGTATTTTAATGCTTCCACCCCCTAGGATACCCCTAATTTTTATTTTGAAATCAAAAAGTATTTAGAGGTCGCTCAACACGTTCAAAGTTTTCCATATATTTTATATGGGGGAAAATCAACCAGGGGGTGGCGGCATTAAAATTCCGACTTTACTTTTTTTTTTTTTACATGCATTTTGGACCACCCTAATGTGTATGTATGTGGGCATATTTATTTAAATTTTTATTACTAGACTTTTTGAAAGTCACCTAACATCTTACACCTAGATCATTAAAATTTAATTAGATTTTTCGAGGAAAAAATAAATAAATTTTTGCATCGTACTTTTAAGGCAACCACGCGAGATCGAAAAATGGCAAATTTTCTACACATCTGTTTATATTAAGTACCAAAACACTTACATATTTATTTATACTTATACACACATATACTCCAATGGTAATTTCTAGAACGTAATGAGTAATTCGATGTTAAAAAAATTGCCAACAAATACCAACTTTGCTCAATCATAAGCCAAGTAAAGCTTCGAGTGAAGTCCAAGCGCACCCAGGTCGTACATAGTACCGTAAGTATAGGGTTTAGTACATAGTTAGGTATGTACATACATATGAACGTGCGAATGTACCTACGCCAACTGATGATGAGAAAAGGCTAATAATTTGTCTGCAATTAACGAAACTATATAGGTACAGTGAAACATTGATATAACGATGTGGAAGGGGTTGAACAAATACTTCGTTATACATATCTATACTATCGTTATATTTAGAGAATATAAAAACCTCGATACAACGAAAAAAAAAAACATTTTATTATAGTTTCGTTTTTTGTTTATGGCGGTACTCCTAACTGGTGATGTAAAGGACTTTTACTGTCAATAAGTTCCGAAGGTTTTCATGATTAGAATTCCTTCGGTGTATGTGTAGAGCATTTTTGTATGGAAAATTTCGCAACAACGATCCTTTTTAAGGGGACTCAGCAAAAATTGGGTTTAATGGAGTTTTTCATTTTATCGAGGTTAGTTCGTATCGAGGTTTTACTGTACATGATGTGACATACCTCTCACTTCAAGCAGATGCATAAATATGTACATTTGTGGGTACATATGTGTGTATTTAATCAAATGCGATTCTTTCGACTCATGTGATACTACGTGTAGATATACGATTCAAAGCTTATAAAGTATTCGTATGACATGATAAAGTGTACATACCTAAATAATGTATACATACCCTGCAGCAATTCAGACTCACCCTAGGTTAGCCATCAGATAGTCCCTATTGTAACCAGAGCACTTGTCCCTAATAATTCCCCTGCCAATATGGTTTCAACTGGCATTTTTAGTATTGTCGTGTCATTGGAAAAGGACCGGTCCACTCAACAGTGACCGTAAGTTAGTCCTGGACTAGTCCAATTTTGGCGATTTTTTTCGTTGGTACACGATTACGTTCTGCACTTCACAGATGCTTTTTCATATTTCGGAAACACAAAAAAAAAACTATTTTATCATTTTACCACCATGCTGCTTCAGACGGCATTTGAACCCGGACCCTCCTGTAAGCTAACAAATAGTGGCAAGCATCACTGCGCACTTAGCTACAGCCACACATGTAAATGTGTGCTCAAATGTTTACTTTGAATCAAGGCCAGACGTAGCGATTGGGGTATTTACAGGGTGGTGTTCTTCAAAATTTTATTTTTGTTGAATTGCAAGACAACACCACCCTTTCATTTCCAAACTGTACTTTTCGTCTATCTCTAGACCGATTCTTTGGGGACTGGTCGAAGGCTGACATTTTCGATGCAACCAAATGTCCAATTCTGACCAGTCAAATTTTAACCAGTGAAGTACTAGTCCTTTACGGAAAATTGGCCGCCCTATTGCTGCAGGGTATGTATGTAGGTGATGTAGGGTATGTATGTATGATGATGAAATATTTATGCGCACCTTAATTATAATGGCAACTATACATTACATACTGGCACGCATGCGTATACACATATGTATGTATATTCATTAAAACGCTTGCTAAGGTTTCTGGAAATCACTTTTGTGTATGGAAAATTCACTTCATTAAAAGATCATTAAAATTGCATTGACGATGCCGCCAAATGCAAATGAAAGGAATTATCACATGCTATTGTACGAGACTTTTGCATTTACCTGCCGAAGGTATGTACATATGTACAATGTTCATATCGCACCCTAAATCAAAAACAGTCGCAACTCAAAAATTTTCAATTTTTTTGCCATAAAACAACTCTTTGCCCTTCGAGTATTTAATGTTTATTATTTTTGGCAATTTTTTTTTTTGTGGAAGGTGTTGCTCATTTTCTCCATGCAATAAAATTGTCGAGCATTCTTTGTATGAAGAAGAAGATGCCCGACCAAAAAATTGTCAAAAATCAACGGTAAGTCCTAGCTACTTCAAACTTGCACTTTATTGTTTTTTTAGATACTAAGCTATATTTTTTATAAAAAAGAATAAACAAAGAAAAGTGGCCAAAAGTTGCTAAAATTTTGTCTCCCTATTTACATTCTTGCCACCGTATATTTAACGTCCACCAAAATCACCCTCTTCTTTAACTGGTAAATACTATTAAGACTGCTTTTGTTTTTTGCTTCTCCTGAAAATTTGAGATTTTTTGAGTTGTGACTGTTTTCGATTTAGGGTACGAGATGTGCTAATGTTTGTGTGTATGAGATCCACATGTGCCAGAGGTACAGATGTACAGTGGGTCACTGTGGATAAAATAATTTTTGAAGAATTTAAATAAACCAAGAATTCTGATAGTTCAGTTTTCCATAAACTTACATTTCGAGCTTTTTTCAATAAATAGCTCTAGACATTAAAAAAATAAGCGCTTTTAAAAAGTGCCCGAATAGTTCAAAGTTTCAAACAAGTGACGTTTTTAATTTTCAGTTAATTTTTAAGGCATCTATTACTAAAATTCGTAAAATCCCGTAATTTATTCATCGATTCTCACTGGCATTTAACCCTTTCACATCTTGCATTCTCAAGTTCCTGCCTGCTGACATTGAGCTGGTCAGAGGCGCGCCCGCACGCGGTTTCGAGGCTAACCTTTATCGTCTTTCTCGGACTCACCGCGCAGGGACCTGTGAACACCTGCCGGCAACGTCCTTGGGGGCGGTCGAGGGAGCAGCTGCCTGGGGAATGATGAGTTAGGATCACCCCAATACTTTCTACCAGGCAGCCCAACTTTTGCGAGATCACAGCCTCGGTGGATTCAAGTAGTCGTCTTCACAACATCGTGGCGCTTTATCGATTAAATACCTAGTAATTACCGTTCAGACAAATGATAATTTCGCAGAAATATGGAAAAGTTCTTATGCAAAACATTTACATATACTTTAATTTTTTTCAGGCCCATTTTTAAGACAAAATTTGCGATACAAATTTTTGTCATGAAAAGCTTTCATTCCTCCGACAAAGCCCACGCCTTTGAAACTTAATTTAAGCAAATGTCGTTTCAAAATGCAACACAGTTGCAGCAAAGAGCTTTTTCTCCATAGAAATCAAAAAGTATCTGCTTTGTGAAGACAAAAGGCGAATTTAATTTGCAAAGCATATAAAACGAAGAAAATGAGCAAAGTTTTTATCGAAACTCTAAGAGATTAGTTTGTGTTTTGGTTGCTCACATTTAATTCTATTTTATTTTTCGTTTTCTTTTTTGTTGTTTTAGAGCTTTGCTTTTCTTTGTTGCTAATGCTTTGTAGCGTTGTTATTATTTGTTGTTGTAGTAAATATGCAACAATCGGCTTTACCTTTGTTTCACATTTAATCTGAAAATAAATGCCGGTTTTGTCACCGCTAGGCCTTAAAAACTACTTGGAAAGTAAGAATTCTGCATACTTAGACACACTCACACATACATACATAAGTATGCATGGAAATACTTTGGTAGAGCCTAATAGATGTTTTGATTTGAAAGACAATTATTTGCAGGTACTCATGTTATTTTAAATTTCAACTCTTAAATGATGATTTGAGAAATATTTGATACAACTTGATTTTTTTCTTTTTATTGCAGCTTCAGGGCGCGCACCACCAGAGCCCTACTACGGTCGCTATATCGGACAATTTACCAATTTTGCACACGGGATAAGGGTGAGTTCAAATTTAAAATATAATTAAATTAATTAAATCTACATCAACTTTTACGACAGGATGCGATATTTAACCTACAATTGGACACTGTCCTCTCAAAACAGAATAAAAAAATGGACTAACCGGTCAAAAACCGGATAACTGACAGCCCTGAGAACAAACTAGGTTCGCAAAATTATTTACGGCTGTTTTTGGAGTATACTTACAATACTGACTTTAGATTCGTTCTTGTTTGTGAATTATTGCGAATTTTGGAAATTTTCGAAAAGCTATATATTTCCCATCGCCATTGAAAAAATGCTTCGATACATTTTAGGTATACCGTTATTCAGATTTAAAAAAGTGGTTCCACTTAATTACGTATAGCTTACGGACCAATTTGACAGTTTTAATACGAGGTGCGGCAAATGAAAGCTAAAAGAATTCTCCATAAACCGCATATATGTATATATGTACATCACTTTTCGATAGGCCTGACAGTTTCTGAGAAATTAATTAATTTCAGATTTTTTTAATGAAGCAACTTTTTTTTTAGCTGTATAACGATAAATATCAAATATCTCGAATATTGAGAGGTTTTTAAAAGCTCGGAAAACCAGGTATAATATATTTATGGTTCAGTAAGATTATAAATAAATAGATTTCTGACCCACAGTAGAATTTGGGATATAAAAAAAACCCTTCAGGGGTTTGGGGATATCTTTTAAGTTAACAAGTTACACTTTTCTAGAAATTCATGAATGAGTTTGGTGCAGTGCTTGTAAATATTAGGTACTTTTCCTGTTCGCAAAAAGATCGTCAATTGTTAGTTAAAAAAAAAAAATGTTTAAGTAGCGTTTAAAATAAGCATCTACAAAACGGCGTTTCCAACGGAAAGTCTATCGAAAAAAAATAAAGGTAATATATCTAACGTATTTATGGGCCATTTTGTCTGCTTTTTGCAGAATATACTGCTATGTATGCAGAAACACTTTTGCGAAAAATTATCTCTTTAGGTGGCGCCAGGGTGGAGATATTTTGGAAAAACCGTATTTATGGTCCGATTTGGTTCGAATTTGGCGTACATACATATGTATGTAGTTGAAACATAATAAGTCGTAGATTTCCAAAAAAATTACATCGAATCGGCCTGAAGTCAATATATAAAATACATATACTCGATATAGAGCTAATTTTAAAATAAGAAAAAAAAAAGAAAATTTTGAAAATAATTTCTGACGTGTATCTAATAGGAAATTTATGTCACATCACGTCACGTCACGTATAGCCATCCACAATTCGCAGAGTTTTTCGATTTTGTAAGAAAAGAAAAAATCAACTTCCACTTTTGTCACATAGCGTCATTCTCTTTAATTGCGTATGTATATTTAATGGCCATGCAACTCGGTCGTTTTCTTTTATTTTGTTAAATATAGAGCTAAATAATTAGGTGCTACACAACCATAAAGACCAAATTAGTACCATTTATAGCTCCCAAACAACTGACTTAAATATAATACATAACAATACATACATATATGTATGTACTTATGTATGTATAAACGAATGTGTACGATGCGGAAAATGTTGAAATCCTGAAATTTGCTATTTTTTTCATACACACAGTCACATGACTGCAAACCGTTTGCCTGCTATGGCTACCCTTGTGCAGGATCTCACTACTACACATGCATATGTAAATGCTTACATGCATACATACACTCGCATAAGCAATTGAAGTTTATTTAAAGGATTCATTTGAATATCCTTTTCGTTCATCTCAGAATCTATGCTGATCCTTTACCAAGAATTCTCAACTAGTTTGTGTACCATTTCCCTTAAGTGCTCTGACTTCAGCTGCGAAAAGCATACTTACCTGGCGTAGAGGTAAACCGTGATCATGAAGGCGGTTCCTCCGGAGCGAGACCTGATCATTGCACATTCGATTGGGTTGACCTTCGCGATTATTCCTAATGTGAATAACTCGTGCGTGTAATTTTTGATAGCCGGGAATGGCGTTCGCGCCGTCCCGACATTATGAATAAATACATAAAAAAAAATCTGGTAAACAGCAGTGTGTTCAGGCAGAGTACGTTTTATATACTTTCTCTCTAAAATCACTGGAATTTGTAGAAGTGCTGTTAAATTTTTCGGCTTTTTAGCTTCATTTTTCACTGCCGATAACTTTTTCTAAACCGTAAAATCATTTTAGCTCAATTTTTTGGATTATGTGATCTTCTGGTTGTTATTTTGCATTTTTCGATAATTTTTAACCGTTAAAATGGAGACAGCCGCGAACCCTAGCCGCGAAAATAACGTAAGCGACATGTCTAGAATTATCTAGATGCATTTCTGCATCAAAAAGAAATAAAAAAAAATGTCGTTTACGGTATTTTGGCGGTTAGGGCCTGATATATTTGAAAAATATATATTAAAATCAAAATCAGAAGAGGAGGGTCCTAATTACTTTTCCACGTTTACATTAAAATAAAATGTTTCAAGTGTTTTATGGTTTGCCATCTAAGAGGTTAAACAATCGACATTGAAGACGACAGAAAGCAGGCAAGAAAGTCCTGAAATTTGAATGTCTTTCAAAGCGTAAAAATTTTCTTTTAAAAGAAATCTTTGTTTTCGTTTGAGTCAATATCGCGGCATTCAACTTCGCTTCTGTTTAAGTAATCTTTTATGAAAAGAATATCGTTAAAAGACGTGGTTTCCAGATTGTTAATTTATTTTGTTACTTAAATTAAGCTAAGAGAAAAAATTTTCCACATTTGATGTTAAAGTCAAATAGAAATCCCAGCAAGTGCTGCCAGATGTCTGAATAGTGGTGATTTTTTATACATATGGAATTCTGATTTCATTTTGATATCCTCAGTTTAAGATTTTGGCGATATTTTCTGAAAATTAGTCTTAATTTTTTTTTTTAAGAAATGCCCTAAAACCGGAATCGTAATTAGCTGGTAGTTGATCTTTGCCGATAGTAGCTTGACTTTAGGAGTTATTCCATTGAAAAATAACAGATATATAATGCTCCGTTATCAGACGAAGTCGCGCGAAGAGCATTCTTTAGTCTACATCGGCTCGAAAAGCTTTTTCAAACTCGAACGGATGGGAAAGACATTTTTCAGCCAAAATAAAATTACTTTGAACATGAAATGAAGGACCGATGCGACGACCAGAAAAGTATGTATTTAGGTGTCGCTTACCATTATTGCTGCAAAAGTTGTGGAAACTTATTAATAAATTTAGGGCATAACCAATCAACTCCATTAATTGGTGTCAACTAATTATTCCCAGTTGTATTTAGGTTATTTTATTATATGTATGTATGTATGTAAATAATTTTGATTAAAAAATATAACTCACTCTACATTCTAATAACACTTAAATATCTTCTGTCCCTTAGGGTACCATTTATGCAGTCGACGAATCGACGCTCTTCATCAAATCCTTTGCATACGACGGCACGGGACCGGATGCATTCTTCTGGGTTGGTAAAACTCCACGTCCCAGTCCCGAAGGATACATCATACCATACCCAGAAGAGTATGCTGGCATGTAAGTATCTACACTTGTGTGCGATACAAAAATATGGTGCAAAAATATGTATGCCAATATGTATGTATGTATGTAGGTGTATGTATAAATAAAATTTCCTTAGATTTTAAGTATTCATGTGTATATGCATATACATAAGTATACCCGCATACATAAATCTAGGCGCGCCCTTTCGGCATTTGTTGCAATATGCTGATGCTGCAACTATAACAGCAACCGCAAAAGGTATAAACACAAACGGAGGCTCATAAAAAGTGCATACATACATATAAAGATGGAATTTTATATGTGTACATTAGGGTGCTTTTTTTCGGCGACTATTTTTCTATTGCACACCCACCTCGAAATTTTTGTGTAAAGACTTCTGGTGCAAAATACACATAAACTTTGAGTTGTTTTCTTCAAAAGTCTACAGCTCAGAGGCATTTTATTATTTTATTTTTATATTTATTATATATTTATGATGGAGTTTCTTCAGAACTGAATGCTCTACAGAAGTGTCCATTACGGCGTAACCAGCGAAGCAATACGTGTCACTGAACCCTATATTTTCATAAAATTGTTTGCTTGCCCCTATCTCGTAAATAACAATTCAATTCAATTTCCTTAAAAAATGTTCAAAAACACCAAAACGCTAACATCGATATTTCTTTAGATCTTGGGCTTTCAATAAATAAAATATCTCTGAGCTGTAGACTTTTGAAGAAAAAAACTCAGAGTTTACGTCTATTTTGAACGGGAAATCTTTGCACACCTTGAATGAGCATTTAGTATTAATTATAAATTTCAAGGAAGTTTCAGGATTGTTTTTTTTTTTAGGTATGTATTTTCTGAGAAATTTCGAGGTGGGTGTGCCGAAAAAAAAATTGTCGCAGAAAAAAAGCACCCTAATGTACATATGTTTGTTTGTATAATCACGAGACCGAGAAATTAACTGGTTCTAGTGGCCGCATCCACATATGCGCGTACATATGTATTTTTTTAGGATAAGAGGATATTGTGGAAAAATCAAATTTTTTTATTGCAAAAACTTTGAATATAATTTTATTTTATCTATTAAAGAGGCTCCACTTTTGTTTTACGAGCTTAAAGCCAAATAAATTCTTAGTTGCACATCCCTTTGTGTATGTATGTATATTTAAAATCCTAGGACTTTGGTCAGAGAACGTATATAAACTGTAGAAAATATAATAATGTTACACTTTGAGAAGTTCAAGGAAATATCATTGTAAATACACCAATTTATCAGTGAAGAAATATCTTGCGGTGGACTAACACAGTGGCTGAAGTTTTGACTCAGTAGTGTAAGTTTGACTGATGTCATTTATAAATGACTTCCCTGCTAAACCCCTGATGTAACTGTTATAGATTAGGAGCGGAGGTTCCCAAATTTAGTAGTTTTTAAAACACAAAACTTGAAACAACAAAACCGAATACCAAATCTAGAAAAATCTATGACAAACAACCAAGCAAGCAAGAGTTCCACCGTCTCATCCTCTTCAAGGCAGGATGGGCAAATGGAGTTGTTCATGTACGCCTATCGCAGTCGGTTGTTTGTACCACGTGAAGTGACCAGTCAGCACTGCAAAAAGTTTTCTGCAGTCCCGTCTGCTCAGTGAGCGCAAACAACTAGATAGAAATAATATATGGTAATACTTACATAGATAGAGGGCTGGGCAATCCATTAAGTGCAGCTCCCCCTGCACATATTTTCCAACACATATGGAGCCTATGGCTTTGAGGATAGCCAATACCTCAGCCTGGAAGACCGAAGCATATTCCCCAAAAGAAAAGTGAAGCTTAGCCCCACCAACTTCGAAAACCTCCCCAGATCTTGACCCAGAGTCAGTTTTGGAGCCATCAGTGAAGATTCGACAATGTGTGAGTCCGGGCTCAGTGCTGGAACTACTTAAACCAGCATTCAGCCTCTGAGAACTCAGCATTATAGAATCACTTCAGCAAAGGTAATGGTGGCGTACTATTCTGTAACATTGAAAAGACACAAGTACTCCGCCTCGCCCCACTTAAGGTTATACTCAACATCCGTTTCTTTTTAGTCTGCAGGGGCCTTTGAGGCTTCCCTACGTATGGAGACACAAAGTGACGGTAAGTGCAGCAGTGCGTGAAGAGCACTATAAACTACTCAAAGAAATCAAAAGAGGTTTCAAAAATAGCGAATTAAAGCTAAATAAAGGGCTATCTGATCTATATGCCGGCATAAATGAAAAAATGTCTTTCAATCGCATTATCCAAAAAAAAATCTAAAAATTTGCAAAATTATTTTTTCCTAAAAAATTTTAGCAAAGAAAAATAAGAAAGGCTTTTTTAAAGTCTAAATACGACCATTTTTTTACCGAAATACGGCCTGTCAAAAACCATCGAAAAATCTGGTTTTTTGTTCCCTTAATTTTTTGGGGTAATGTATTAACTTACTTAAACTGAGGCCCGATCAAGGGATATAAAGCAGCTCCAACCACTCGGCTACTCGGATCTTAAGATCAACTGAAGCTTTAATTCGATAGTTAATCAATTGTTACCTGCATAAGGTGTTTCTAAAATTTGGCTCTGTTGGATAATCTTTTTTAGTTTTAATGCGAAGATTTTCCAATTTTGCTGATAAGACCCGATGAGCTGTGATTATATGTAGTATATTTTCCAGCTTATATTAAAGAAGGCTAATAAACTTTAAACGCATGTAATGTACATATGTCATTAACATCCCCCAAAACCCCAACGAAACCACTGATGCTGTCATCTTTTTGTTATTGTTACGCACGGCTGACAATAGAACCACTTTGAAAAATTAAAAACATTTTTCATCACAGCCATACATACATAGCTCACCTTCTCCCATATGGTAGCATATATACGCACACTTCGAGTATTTGTATATGTATATGTAGGTGTACTTAAAAATGACTCGAAGGTTTAAAATACTACACAGAAACCTTGTAAAACTTATTTATTAGCCTAGAACTCATTTATGTGCTTGAAATTTAAAGAGCTAACTACATATGTACATACTTAAAAATCCGTACATATTTATACACATACATAGTATGTATGTATGTGCATTTTCCATTACGTACCTATGACTTGAGGAATTATGTATGTATGTATGTATGTCCCACTGCATTCCAAATGTCACCTGAAGGTTATTGCCAAAGGATTTTATTTTACTTTTTATGCTTGGCAACTAAATAATATTTAAGCGACCCCCTTTGGTTGCCACACACACACACACAAATTAAGCCATTCTTATCCTCGCTTATCTGCACTTGTCAGTTGAGCCAGCTACATACAGTACATATTTATAAGCATACTACGTGTGTATATGTGTTTATGTATGCTTGCACCCGCCATTCTCTTCATTTGCGTTGCCTTAATTTGTCATCGCTTGTCAGCATTGACATTTGGCTAAGAAATATTAGCGCATTTAAATTTGCCAATGCAACACGAAAATCGCAAGGCAGTCAGGTGGCACCACAGATCCTTGGCTTTTGCGGGAAATGCATTTCTGTTTTGCAACATTCAAGGAAATGTATAATCTGTTATGCACTCGTATGTTTTCATCACTCTTGTTGACTTTGATATACAAAAATCGAGCGAAGAATACAAGGAGCACTTGTTGGCATTCAGCGGTGCATTAATGGTTGCTAATTTTAAGCGTAGTTTCAAAAAACTGTTTTCATGAAAACCAAAATACACATACTAAAGTACAGCTATGAATATGAAAATGTACGCACATGCAAAGCAGCAGCTTTAAATAGTAAATCGAATTTGATAAAAATACAAATTATATGTCGACTGCTTTGTGGAAGATCGACCTATCTCGGCAGCCAGTTCGAAAACGCCCTATCTCAAAAAACTTTTCAAGAATGCCCTATTTCAGATTTTTTTTTTTTTTGAAAAACACTCTATCTCATAATTTGGTTGACGAATGGCCTAACTCAGAATTCGAGTCAAAAACATCCTATCTCAATTCAAAATTTATTGAGAATGTGCTGATATAGGGCGTTTTTGAATCGGCAGCTGAGATAGGGCGATTTTGAAACGAATTCTGAATAGGGCGTTCTTTAAACGTTTTTTTGAGATAGAGCATTTTCCAACTGGCCGCCAAGATGGGTCGATCTTCCAATCAGCAGGCCGATATATGGTGGGCCAACTTGTTAATATGTAACATTTGTATGTTATAATGGGCCGAATATTATGCGTGCCGCGAATATTATAGAACATGTAATGACCTAATGTCACGTTCTACATGATTATTAAAAGCTTTTTATAAAATACATACATATGTGGGTCGTTCTTAAAAAACATGACCAATTGGTGTCCCCAGACTTTACTATTTTAAATTTTGTTTCTTCAAAAAGAAAATAGAAAAATATCTGCATTTTTATAAATTATTATCGATTCTACGTAACTATATTATAAAAAAAAAATAATTAATTATCTGAAAATAACTTAAAAAATATTTTCAATGTCAAAGGTTTAGCAAAAACCTGTGTCCCGAGCCAATTTATAAAAATTTAATAGTTATTTTCAGTTGAAATAAAATTGAAAAAAAATAATATTTACAATTTTTGTTATTCAGTTTGTGTATATTAATACCATATATAGAAAAGAATGATGAAAAATAATTTTTTTGTATAATTTTTATGAAGAAAATTTGTGTCCCCAGGTTTTGGTCCCCTCTGTTACGTCCACTCATTTTATTGAAAAATGTTTGTTAAACGTTATGACGCGTATATTTCTCAGGCCGAACAGTGTTGTGTGGTGGTCCACTTATGCAATTTGCTAAGTTTTTCCTGCGAGCATGAAAACGTCGATCGAAATCATATGCACGTTTATGACATACACATATGTATATATATCGTATATGTATATATACGAGTATATATGCATATTCCTGTAAATGGTGGTGGCGCCACATACTAAAATGCAAAATTTTAAACATCAAACACAAATTGAGCGGCGATTGAAAATCACATGCGCTCATT